GAGCGGTTTACACTATTCAAGAGCAAAAGTAAACGGCAGAGAGGACGCGGACACTATTCCGGCTCCCAAACCACCAAATTCAAAGCTCAGAAGATATTTCCACGCTATCACCTCCCTCGGCAGGACCGGGGCGATCCCTTCCCGCACAACTCAACGCATTTTTCCCAGACAAAGGGAAAATCCTGGAAAAAAACCGCGTCCGAGTCCCTCCAGCACGGGAGGAAGAGCCGAGCCGGGGAGGCAAAAAGGAGGGAGGGGGGGCTGCTTCCCCGGGTTAACTTTGTTCTTTGGGGTAAAGATAAGATAATTCGGTTCACCGCAGTAAAGATGATAACGCGGTTGAGATCTTGAAGTGGCTTTTAAAAAGACTTTGCAAAAACCCACTGGAGGAGGAGGTCGGTGAAACACCCCCGGGGTTATAAACCCTGCGCAGGGACAGTCCTTTTAAATCAAATCCCCAAAGTTTTATTTGCTCGGGGTTGGGTTTAAAAGGCCTCTCCGGTGTGGGTGCAACCGAATTGCGGGGGGTTTATTGTTCAACGCCCGGACGCGTTTCGGTGTCTCTGCAAAGGCCGCAGAGCGATGCAGCTGCGGAGCTGTTTGGGGGAAGGCGAATGGGGAGACCGAGAGTCTGGTCAAATATAAACTCATTTACCACAATAAATTAACTTAAAAGGGAGGGAGCTATAAATCTGCCCCGTGAATTTAAACACAAGGGTAAGTATTGAAGCACAGGCACAAAGTCGATATTGTGGGAAGGAGATATCGGGGGGTGTGTTGGGGGGTTGAACGGCCTCTGCTCCTCTGTCCTGCGGGGAAATTACTCTCCTTTGAAACGTGTTCTTTGCCCTTCGTGTCACACACACCCCCCCCACCTCTGTCCAGGGTCACCCACACACCCCCCGTGCCCGGACCATCTCTCCATCCCTGGATAAAGTCATCCCCTCCTTCGCCGTCGGGGTCAACCCGGGACCGGGCAACCCCCAAGAACGGCCTCTGCTCCTCTGTCCTGCGGGGAAATTACTCTCCTTTGAAACGTGTTCTTTGCCCTTCGTGTCACACACACCCCCCCCACCTCTGTCCAGGGTCACCCACACACCCCCCGTGCCCGGACCATCTCTCCATCCCTGGATAAAGTCATCCCCTCCTTCGCCGTCGGGGTCAACCCGGGACCGGGCAACCCCCAACACCCCGGGGGGAACGGGATACCGGGAAACGACTCGACGCCCCGAAGCGACGGTGAGGGGCCGACGGCAACCTACCGAAGGTGGACCTGCGACCGGGTAAAGCCGCTTGCCTGGTCTGCAGGCTGTGCAGCACGCTGCTCTCAAAGTGTCCGGCCGTC